TTTTATTTATGAGAATAGATCGACCGGCCTCTAATAATACCTTTGTCTATTCATGTGGAATAGATTTTCTTTCATCTAATTTCATATAAAGATCTCAGTTACTTTGAGAAAATACTCCGTGAAATCGGAATCGTATAACACGAATGCGATATTAAATAACTTCATGATTTTCTGAAAAGAATTGATGAATAGGAAAATCCTTATGAGTTCAGTATGAGCTTTTGACATAAATATCTTAAAATAACTTGAAAGTATTTCCGTTCAGTTCATTTTTTTCTTCTTTCTTTGATTTACTTCTAACTTCTTTCTTTGAGTAATTAGGCAATCTAACTGTTTTCCATGCTGGTTTGCGTTATAAGAAAACTATCTTAGACAATGCACCGAAGTTAGTACTCCTAAATTCTATCACAGAATTTTATTACGAGTATAAGTTTAGGTATCCTTCCGTTTGGCCAAATTACTTTTCGCCAAATTTCACTTCGCAAACAACTTATTGCCAAAGTTTCATTTCCCAAATGAACTTTTAGCAACTGTACTTTTCGCAACTAATTCATTTGGACAAATTATCATTTGGCCAAATTTTACTTGGCAAATGTTTATATAGCAAATGTTTTATTTTGCCAAATATTACATCCCAAATAATTTGTTTGGTCAAATCGACACTTCACATACTTACCCACAAATCAAACCATAAGGCAGAGGCAGATGATCATGGTTTTCACAAGAATGTTATGTAAAATCCGTTTGGCCAAATTACTTTTCGCCAAATTTCACTTCGCAAACAACTTATCGCCAAAGTTTCATTTCCCAAATGAACTTTTAGCAACTGTACTTTTCGCAACTAATTCATTTGGACAAATTATCATTTGGCCAAATTTTACTTGGCAAATGTTTATATAGCAAATGTTTTATTTTGCCAAATATTACATCCCAAATAATTTGTTTGGTCAAATCGACACTTCACATACTTACCCACAAATCAAACCATAAGGCAGAGGCAGATGATCATGGTTTTCACAAGAATGTTATGTAAAACAAAGAGATTGCAGAAAATAGTATGGTTGCAGAAAGTAGGTATTGCAGAAAATAGTAGGTTAGGTTAGGTTAGAACAGTGACCCTTAACGCGCGAAGGCGAGCGAAGCGTGCCGCGGCAGCGGCCGCCGAGCGCTAGAATCACCTCTATTGTTAATGAATCATTTGGGAATTTCGATAAAAAGAATGAAATATGAAAAATTTATATAGAACAAATTTTATATTAACTACCCACTAAACAAAATAATAACCACTTGTTAATTTTTACTCCATTCTAAGCACCAATCAAATTATTTTGTTAATAGTGTATCGTGAAATATTTTTGCCAAATGAAACATTTGCCAAAACATACTTTGCCAAACAATAATTTGCTAAACAATAATATGCCAAAAACGGCATTTGCGAATTAAAAGTTTGCTTTAAGTTGTTTTGCCAAATGAGAATTTGCCAAATGAAAATTTGCGAAACGTTGTTTGCGATGTGATAATTTGGGAAACGTTTTTTGGCCAAACATTAGTAATCCATAAGTTTACCCGCGTGGCCCCCTATTTACCTCCTTAGAGGTGGAGTTTTGTAAAATCCGTTCTTAGCGAATGTCTACACCATATAAAGAACCTTCCTGCTAAATTTTAGGCATTTCAGAGATTTCATGATTATTCAGTGAGTGGTGTTTCGCATTTATTTAAATAGATTTTATCTTGATTAACTTAACTTTGATATCATTGAAAAATTAAATTTCAGTATCTCATTGCCGATTCAAGATGTCTTATTTGATTCAGATCAACTGCTCTTCACTCTTAACACAAGCATTATTATAATCAGCTGAGAAGGACCGATTTATTGGTAACTAGATAACACCCGATAGCAAGTGCGTTAAAAAATCTATGGCGATTTCATTTCTTGAAAGGAACTTCTAGGGAATTATGTCAAATAACCAATTTTATAGAGTGTTATATGTGTGTGCAGAAGTCGACGCCTCTACCGGAAGGCGGTCCGCTACCTGTGCAGCCGAGTCCTATGACGCTGGGCCTGCCGCGCCGCGCTCATACGAATATACACGAATTAAACAAAACACGGTGGCACTTATGTAGCAGTAATAGGCGCTATTTTGCAACAGTCTACAGTCCGTGGAAAATTTTATTGAATGTTAAATATTTGTGCAGGAGTCGACGCCTATACTGGAAGGCGGTCCGCTACCTGTGCAGCCGAGTCCTATGACGCTGAGCCCGCCGCGCCGCGCTCATACGAATATACATGAATTAAACAAAACACGGTGGCACTTATGTAGCAGTAATAGGCGCTATTTTGCAACAGTATACAGTCTGTGGATAATTTTATTAAATGTTAAATGTTTGCGCAGGAGTCGACGCCTATTCCGGAAGGCGGTCCGCTACCTGTGCAGCCGAGTCCTATGACGCTGGGCCCGCCGAGCTCGTCCAGCGCCCCGCCGCCCACGCCGGCCCGCCCGCCCTTCGCCAAGGAGTATTACTTCTTGGACATCGAGCTGCGCTACGGCTTACTTCAGGTATGTAACTCTCTACAGCGTCATTGATCGTGTCATCCACGAAGACGCGCCCCGCCATTCTTTCGCTAATATTTGAGTGTTATCAGTACACGCTAAATTATCCATTAGTGCACACGCACACTACAATTATGAGGCTCGGCTTGCTCGGATCAAACTCCCCGCACACTCACACACAACAGGGAAGCGCGGGGCTTCCCTCAACCAAAAGTGTAAACATGAAACTTTCCCTTACTAGGGTTCAACGAGTTAGGAGAGGAGCCAGGAAGTAAAGTGAAGGTGTAGCGGCCAAATCCTGTAACAATGCTGTGAAATCTGTAGTGGAGATTCCAAGGCAATTCCGATTATCCGATTATTCACACACACATTTGATATAAGTACATAATATTTAATTATGAACACCTACTACTAAAACTTAACTAAGCAGTTAAGTGGTAGGTATTACAATTTGTATAATTTCTTGTTAATCATTCAGCTGCGTGCCTCTTTGTGAGTAGTATTTCACCAAATTAGGCTGCGTTCACGCCACACTTAAGACTGCCGCCGACACCCGACAATAACCCTGTATTAGTTCGTAGCTACGAGCTTCTACGAACGTAGCTTCGTAGTACAATCAGCAGTCGTAGTCAAAACTACACACAGCGTACGAGTCGGTGCGAATAAAACTGAATAATAATAATTGAAAACCGGAAAAACTGGTTCCACGTCGGTAGACAGGCTTAGTACGCGTTCATGCACACAGCTTAGCGCGGATGAAAGCGTAGGCGGGTAAAATAATTAACAATGAAGCGTTGAACCCGGGCTATCCGGTGGCGGAACCTTGAACGCAAATACGCCTAGACTTGGACATAAAATAAAGTTGTATCCCTTAGGTAGGACAAACCGTTTCCTATTAAAATAGTATTGATTGTTATTAAATTTTTAGCGTTTGGAGTCGCATCTCCAACTAATTTGAAAATTATAAATAACTTGAAAAAATCGAACTTAGGCAGTTCGATTTTTTCAAGTTATTTATAATTTTCAAATTAGTATTGATTGATTAAAATAATAATAAATGTATCTCTCTGTCTAAGATATTATAGTTACACTTAAAAAACCTTGTGTTTCTTTTATCTATGGTTTGATCTACATTTTGTCTAATAATAATAATATAATATTATAGTAGGTAGTAGTAGGTAGTCTAAGTATTAACTAATCTTTAAATAACTCATGCCCGTTTCCACCATCAATCCCTAATTTTTAGAGGGTTACCATAGTGGTCACTTAAAAATTTATTGGATTGATGTTGAAAACGGGCATGAGTCGTTTATTTTTCCTTAAAAAGCCTTAAACCTATTCATAAATATAATATTCATAAACCTAGTAAAAAGCTTATTATACATGAGTCAACATAAAGACGGTCCTCAGAAAGGTGATCGAATACATTAACAAACACCCAGGGTCAGCAAGCTTAGGCAAAGGCCCACCCACTCTCCTATTTATAAATTCAACGCGTTGCTAAAAATAAATAAGCCAGGTCAATAAAATCACCCGCATATCGCTCTGTCTTATCTTCTATTTTTTATATTAGTAAAGATGAAGAGATAAATAATTTATCTTGCAGCAGATCTCTTCACTGCTCTTCACAGTTCACAGAAACTGCATTTCATTTCGTTTTAAAATAACTTTCAAACACTCTAAATATAGTTGAAGTATCTTAGTACCATTAGCATTCACGCAGTTGTTTCCTTTCATTATAGAGAAGAAGCAAACATTATACATCTATTTCTAAGCCAACTTAACATTAACATAATAATATAAAAATAAACTCACAATGCGACAACTTTACAACAGCTCAAAAATAAAGATATACAAATACATAGGACAAAAGAGTTCTGAAACAATACTTCTATTAACCGAGACAGAGATATTCACCTGAAGGAAACGTTATTTTTGCATTCCTGTTGTTTACGGAATAACTGTGTTGCCTTTATTCGTGTTTAGTGTCGGCCATTGTAGTGTGAGCGCGCGCGAATTATTAACGAGGCGCCGCGTGAGCACAAAGCTGCTGCGAAAACTTGCTGTTGTAAAACAAGACACACGCGCGGTGAGCAACACAGCGGCTCGCAGTCATCAAAACCCAGTTTTTTTATATCTTAATCCTACTATCCTACTATCTATACTAATATTATAAATGCGAAAGTAACTCTGTCTGTCTGTCTATCTGTCTTGCTTTCACACCTAAACCACTGAACCGATTTTGATGGAGATGGACATAGTTTGAGCAGTTTGAGTCCCGGGAAAGGACATAGGATAGTTTTAATCCCGGTTTTTGAAACAGGGACGCGCGCGATAATGTTTTTCTGTGACAGACAAAATTCCAAGTGGGCGAAGCCGCAGGCGGAAAGCTAGTAATATTATAAATGCGAAAGTGTGGATGTCTGGATGTTTGTTACTCTTTCACAAAAAAACTACTGAACGGATTTTGATGACACTTTACAGTATTATTGTTTATAACTAGAGATGGGTAAGTGCTAATAATCCGATTAATAGCAATTGGCTAGTAACGGATTAAAAGCAGTTATTAGCCATTAATAGCCAATAATAGCCGATTTCAGATGGTAACCCTGCTATTAATGTTATACTAATGATTAAACATATCCCTTCATAGTTTACAAATTTAGCACTTGAAATTTGGAAGGGACGTAGCTTAGGTACCGTAGAGGTGCATTAAGAAAGGAATACCCGAAATTCCCACGGGCACGGGAATTAGGGGGAAAATCCTTTTGTATGAAAAATCTAAACCGCTTAAGTTAGACGCTTGAAATTTGGCATGCAGGTACCTTAGTAAACTTAAAGCTTAGTTACAAGAGGATATTGCAAAATTCCCACGGGAACGGGAGTTAGCGGGAAAAAAACATTTGTATGAAAAAATCTAAACCACGTAAGATAGACGCTTGAAATTTGGCATGCAGGTACCTTAGTAAAGTCAAAGCTTAGTAACAAGAGGATATTGCAAAATTCCCACGGGAACGGGATGGCGGGAAGACGCAGAGGTCTTGCACCCGTCTGCCGTCACTGCTCGCGGGGGCGGTACTAAACCTAACGAATGATGGGAGTGTTTAAATCCTGTTTGATCTTTAAAGAAACTGACGAGCTATTTCATTATTGACACCAAAATCCTAAATTTTTCGCGGACAAAACTTAAGGACGTGACTTAATCACAGTTATTTGGGAAACTTGCTTAATTTGGTAATCTTAGATAATAGATAGATTGTATAATCCAAAAATATACTTTTTCCCTAAGTTCTGTTTTGATCTTCAGCTAAAAAAATACATATTGTAAGAAATTAAGGATGTGGACACTGCACCAAAATTAGAAACGCTTAGTTCAATTATTTTTTGTCGAATTTGTAAAAGAAAATACTCATTAATAATGTTGTCCTCAAAATGGAACCTCTGTATATTTTCGTGTAAAAAAAAATCAAAGTTCTATGTCATAAAAAACATATGATTTTCAGCTACGCCGCTCAAAAAATGTGTTTGGGAAATTGACCCACATAATAAGAGTTCCTTGTATGGACTACGGAACCCTAAAAAGCAGCAGCAGTGAAAAGTTTTTTGTTGTGACCGATCTCTATCTGAAATATATTTTTTAACTCAAAAAGACTCTTGACTTTTCTTGAGAAGTTGAGTTTGAGTACTAATTAAGTTTCAGTCACAGTGTGTGTTATTCAAACTCATTTATTTTCTGTAAGTAGGCCCTCGAAGAATACTTTTGCCAGACAAACTTAACCTTGTTTTTATCATTTTACTATGCTAGAAAAATTCTAATAACGTTTACAATCAAAAGAGGAATTTCATAACCGAGATGCCTTGATCAAAGTACCATTGATTGTGAAAGTATAGTTTAATCAATTTCTTAATCTGTCCGTAATATAATAAAGCTTCATTAATATCTGAATTAATAGACTCGAAGGTCGAGTACCATACACTGGACCTTTTGGAAACTAGGATCGTCCCTAATTACTTCTCAATCCTTGGGTTATACCTTTTATGTAATACATACTTAAATTGATACACACAGGCTTCAAACAAAGTAACATCATACTGATCGCCTTTGATAAAGCAAGGTACAGAGCAAAAATCGTTATAAATCTATACTTACTATAATATTATAAATGCGAAAGTAACTCTGTCTGTCTGTCTTGCTTTCACGCCTAACCCACTGAACCGATTTTGATGAAATTTGGCATAGAGATAGTTTGAGTCTCGGGAAAGAACATATGATAGTTTTTATCCCGGTTTTTGAAACAGGCACGCGCGCGATACAGTTTTTCGTGACAGACGAAATTCCACGCGGGCGAAGCGTCGAGCGGAAAGCTGTAAGTGTACTATAAAAAAGCAGTTCGTCCGTTCGTTTGTTTCAGCCAAATGATATCCACTGCCGGACAAAGGCCTCTCCCAAGGATTTAGATAACGACCGGTCCTGCGCTGCCCGCATCCAGGCTCTTCCCGCGACCTTTACCAGATCGTCGGTCCACCTAGTAGGAGGCCTGCCCACGCTACGTCTTCCAGCCCGTGGTCGCCACTCGAGAACTTTTCTGCCCCATCGGCCATCGACTTTACGAGCTATGTGCCCCTATATGGGTCTATAATTGCTTAAAAAAGCTGTTATTAATAATGTAACATTTCAGCAATAAGATGATGTTTCCTCATCACCCAGATAATTTTGACCGTTTCAACCCCTTGCTACAAAAATCTCTTACAATTTTAATGGGTTAAGATACTTCTTATTTTTACAGTCGGTTAAAATTATTTGATCACAGCAATAGCACTACAATGTTAACATTTGTCGATCGGCAAGAGTAAGAAACACTTATTACACGTGCTATTTATATTTACAACAAACTTTTGAATGGTCAATAATATGTCGTAGCCTATTTATGTTCGTAGGAATGTAAATTAGATTGGACTAGATTATTGTAAAGACTTTTTAAAAAATAAAAATAAAACCAATAACC